ACCATATAGGATAACTTCCTGATGTTTTCATGGCATTTGTAAACTGTCATAGCATTGGTGGGAGTGTCTTTTAGCATGCTAATACATTAGCTTATAATTAGCTTATAATACTAGTAATTAGCTTCTAATGAGCAGTGAGGATGACCAGAGGTCACTCTTGTCGTCATCTTGGTTTTGGTGGGTTTTGGACAGCTTCCTTACTGCAACCAGTTTTATCAGCAAGGTCTTTATGACCTGTATCTTGTGCTGACCTCCTGTCTCATCCTGTGACTCAGAATGCCTAACTTACTGGGAATGCAGCCCAGCAGGTCTCAGCCTTATTTTACCCAGTCCCTACCCAAGATGGAGTTGCTTTGGTTCAAACACCTCTGATAACCATACCAAGGACTATGAGTTGCATTGTGAAATTAATGGGGGCTCTGTAAACAAAGGCAGTGAGTCTTATCATCAAATGTATGATTTATAATGTTTATTGGAGAAAGACAGGCTGGAAATAATCAGAATGGCCTGAAAATGATTGCAAGTTTTAGATTGACTATAAAGTAAGGTGGCATGGTGACTGAACAATGCTGTGCTGGTTGTGTCAATATGAGTGTGAGCTGTGTCAGTATGAATGTGATTGTGTCAACATGAGTGTGAGCACCTGTGGGTAATTTTAAATAAAATGTGTTGAAAAATACTTGATTTTTATTGAAAAATTGCATAAAGTAGGTACTCAAGTATAGAGTGTATGCTTTCACCTGTGCATATCATGTTACCTACGTGAGGCAAAACAATGAAAATATCTAACTGGATGACTGTAGAGAGGTTTTGGAGAACCTTTAGTTTTTTTAATGTTTAAGATGCTGCCATCTAGTGACACTTTTGTGAAATCACTTTGCAGTGATACGTTTGTATCTTCCAGTTGTTTTCTCAATACATTTTATATTTTAATAATTTATATTGTCTACCAACCAATAGGGAAATAATTACAAATGCATTAAACATAGTGTAGAAGCCGTACTTGATTTTTTTCAATGTGGTACCACAAAGGTGGCCACAGAGATTTTAATAATGGGATATTGTATGTCAAGTTTTGTGGTTTCTTCAATGTGCTGTTCTTTATAAGTAATTGATAACTAAAGTGCTGTTTTTTCTATTTCCTGAGTTTTCTTAGAAAAATTGAGTTATAAAAACAAATTATGAAAATCTGAGCTGTAAAAATTGCTTCACAAAAGTTGTGTTAATTGGAAATGTTGATGAGAAGAAAAGAGGGTTTCAAATTCAGAATAATTAACTTTTTTTCCCCATATGTAATTTCAGTATTATAAGTTATATAAGTTCAGTATTAAAAGTTCCCCATATAAAATTTCAGTATTATCTTAAAATATAAACAAATAAATGTGTGTGGAGGGTTGTGTGCATGTCTATTAAAGCTAAACATTAGTCTGCAAACCTAGGTTTTGATGACTTAATGACTTCTAAGTTTTGATGAAGATTAATTGTATTCATGTCCTATTACTCCTTAAACTTCTATGACAATAGAGCACTTGTCTTATTTTTATGGTATGTATTGCTCATTTTTTTGTGTTAGAAACAAATAATAAAATAATCTCGCTTCCTCCCTTAAAATTCAGTTATTTTGTGCTGGTATATTGTCCTTTTTTGAGATACTATCTCCAGTCATATTATAGTGAATGAGGTTTTCAATTAATTAACTTTTCAGCATATTGAGGTTTCTTTATGCAAACCAACGCTATAGTGTAGAAGTAAGCACATCTTTCCGTAAAGAACTAAGTAGCAAATATTTTAGGCTTTGTGGGCCATATGGTCCCTAATGCAACAACTCATTTCTGCTGCTGTAGCAAAAAAAGCAGCCATGGACAATATTTAAACAGATGAGACTGGCTGTGATCCAAAATTAAATTTACGGAAACAGACTATAGTTTGCATGTCTCTTCTCTAGGGAAAACACCTGTATTTGTAATTTGGGGTTATTTTTTCTTAGGTGGTGTTAGAACACTTCTAAAATGTATTCAAGTATTTACTTCAAAAACTTTAATTCCATTGAGAGTTGTGTGCCTTCAGGGTTCCAAAAAATCTAGTTTGGAGCAGGTATGTGCACGTGGTAAACTAATCATACACATGGTAAACTACACTCGGTAAACCAATCATACACAAACCCAGAGGTAAAATGTTTTGCAAAGTTCTATTACCTGCATTTAGCCATCAGTTTTTAAATTCATGTTCATGTACAAAGTTGTCTTCATGTGGAACAAATCTTTATATTTTCTCAGTAAACATTTCAACATTTTGATATGCAGTAAGTTAAATTACTTTGATCATCAGCAATTAAATTAGAAACCTCCTACTTGGGTACAATTTGGATAATATGTATTCATTGTTCCAGTTTGTGCTTCTGGGAATTTAGTGGAAACAGAGACTTGCTTTTTAACATTGTGAATTGCACTAGGCAGACAAACAAAACACTTAAAACCTCATGACAAGTAAATAACTAAGACAGAATGGAATCAGATCAGAAGAAACTCTTAGGGTACAAAGTCAATGTGTATGAAGGAGACAGTAGAGTTTACATTAAACTTTGAAATTCTCTCCCAAACAACATCATTCTTCCTCTTTATTATTGGATAAGAATTCTTTTTAAAAATTAAGCTCCATATAAAACAGCTGGCTCACATTGAGGATCTGTATTGTATCAAAGTATGCATATTTGCTTACCGAATAGCATTAAGCAAGGATTGTTTTCCTTATTCTAACATGAGAACTAAAAGAACTCAAGCAGTAACTGATCCAAACCTCCATCTTGTGATCCTTTGGTATCTTGTACTCTTTAAGAAGAATGGCAGCTGTAATTCCTAAGACCAAGTAAAGAATGTCTTGGTTTTTGGGGGCTGAGTATATCAATTCACTCTTCCCTTAAAAAGCTATGTAACAAATCATCTCGAAACTTGTTGTCTTAAAACAATAACCATTGATTTATGGATCACCTTGGTGTCAGAGCATCAAGGTAGGACTCGGCTGAATGGGTTCTGCTAGTCTCAGCTGAGCTCACTCATGTTTCTGTGGCAAACTGCAAGGGGTGAGGAGGGCATGGAAGAGCAGCTGATCCAGATTGAGTTCAGGTGAGGATTATTATACTCCACATTTCTTTTATCTTCCATCTGGGCCAGCAGTTTGGCCCAAGCAAGTCCTTCTCATAGAGATAGCAGAGAGCAAGAGAGAGCAAGCTTAGTCATTCAAGTACTTTTCTGAGACTGTTTTTATTACATGTGCTAACATTCTGTTGGTCAAAACAAGTCACATGGCTGATCCCAGTGGCTGAGACTTACACCTTCCCCACAGTGGGAGGAACTAGAACTTATCTGGCAAATAACACGGGTGTAAGAGAGGGCAGAGAAGCTGAACCATTGATACACTTGATAACACTGCGTATACTTGAACTGATTAAATATGCACATGATGTGGGGTTAAATGCTAAACAAGAAAACTATTGACTCTTTCAGATTACTAGGATACACTAAAGCAACAGTTCAGAAGCTTTTTAGAAAGGGGAACCTTCTGCACTCTTAAAAAGCGCTGAGGATCTTAGGAGATTTGACGTTGGCTCTATATCTATATTTACTGTATTTGCAGTTAAAACAGAAATTTAAAATGTATTTATTTGTTTTAGAATAACAACAAATGCATTACATATTAACATAAGCAAAATATTATTATTCAAACTATGTTTTCTTTAAAAAACAGTAGCATTGTTTATATTTGGCAAATCTTATTAACACCCGACTTAATAGAAGACAACTGGTTTTTTATACCTGTGTTCAATCTCTCTGTTTCTCTTTTTGAATCTTAGAAAGAAAATAGGTACTCACAGAGATATGTAATCAGAAAAGGCAGGAGTGATTGAATAGTCTTTCAGTCAATTTTGTGTATTCTTTGATATTGCATCAGAATTTGACAAGTGAGAACTTTTTAGGAGTTCTGGTATGGAATGTGAAACTGAATCACTGAATTTTCTATATTTATTATATAAAAATCCATTGACTGAACTTGCATTTCAAACAGATCCTTTATCAATGCACAATATGTAACATCAAGCATTGACCATTCAGAAAATATTGGTTCATTGAATTATGTATATTTTCCAAATATTGACATATTTAATTATATAATATTTAAAAATATGTATTACTACTATATTCACCAGAATTATCTCAATAACAGGAGCTAGTCATACTCATGGAAGTGGATACAAGTTTTTCAATATTCTAATTTCCCCTGGAAACTCTAATTTTATCATTGGCAGCAAATATTACAAGTTGTTTTATTGAAGCGACACTCCATTTTCAAAAGAATATCTGTTAAATACATCACACATGTGAATTATCACTGTTTGTCAGTTGCTCTTTTGTGCAGAAATGGTTGTCCATGGTATAAAGGTGGCAGGTTCAGCATGCCATTCAAATAATTGCATAAATACATTGCTTTAATACAGCCATCCTACTTCAGAATGTAGTCAAGTGTTTTATGTGTACTTCCCACATTCAACATTAAAAATATAAGAATTAAGGTATTGAGATTTAATGAAAATTGACCATTTTTACAGTTTTCACAAGGAGATTTTCACATGAAACTTTCCCAGGTCCCCAGGTGAAAGGCTGGGACCAATGTAATGACTACTAGCACAGTTTGGTGCCACTGCCTTGGCTCCTGCTGATGTAGGTGGCAGCTGTTTTACCCATCACTGCTTTTGCATTATCAATACAAGTGTCAATCCAGTGAAAAAGGCAAAGAATGTCTTAGCATTATGACAATTGCTTTGATCTGGTGGGTCTTCTGAAAGGGTCCTGGGAATTGTGGATCATACTTTGTGAACCATTGCAGCAAAGAGCAAACCATAATGTATGGTACAGAAGTTTGTCAAGTATTTTCTTAAAGATATTTGTACTTATTATTTCTAATCATTAAGCAAATTTAAAACTTATTATTATGTTCTTCCGTAGGGTTGTTACGTTGGCTTTGATCTAGCACATGCCGTTGGAAATGTTGAACTCTATTTACATGACTGGGGAGTTGATTTTGCCTGCTGGTGTTCCTACAAGGTACAAACGAGTTAATACATTTACATCCCTTTATTTCACATTGACATTAATCTGAAGGAGAAACTGGATCTGTTGGCCAATTTTAAAGATTTCAGTTACTTTGCCTATTTCTTTTATTATTATATTTTCTGATTTTAGTTAATGGAGTTATATGATGGAATAGTGTGGTAAGTAATTTAATTCTAGTATTTCCATCAATATAGAGAAATTAATTCTTCCAATTCCTAGGCTGCTATGAAAAAGTCAGGAGGTTCTGGAGAAAAAGCCCTACACTTAATTCAAATTGATAATCTCTTTAGTTTTTTTTATTGATAAGTTGTGAAATTTCTGCATATATAAAGATAAGTTTTAGAGAATCAACTTGGAATTCATATTTGAAAACAGTTTAATTGACAGGGAGCGTGAAAATAAAGCCAATTACAATTTACTTGTTTTAAAAATATACTTTTATTATTATTGCAATATTTTAGGACAAAATAATTTAAATGTATGAATTTTAAGCCAGACCTCAGTAATACTGCTTTCTACCAGCTAGAGCAAATTTGCCCCATAAAAGTAACAGTCATTTATTCTCAACCTAATAATACTAGTTTTTATTTGTTTTTCTTTGAAGAAGGTGACCCAAGCTTCTGTTTTATCAAATAATCACACATTTTGAAGTGGTCAAAAGTTGTGGTTTCAATTAAAAAATTCAAATGACTATATTGTTTAGTTTTGTCACATATTCAAGTAAACCCACATAATTTAATTTATTTTCAATCTAGTATCTAAATGCAGGCGCAGGAGGAATTGCCGGTGCCTTTATTCATGAAAAGCATGCCCATACGATTAAACCTGCGTGAGTACCATCTTCAGATAATTCTTTGGTGATGCACAAATTAATTTGCATTAATAATATGTTAAATTTACATGAGTTCTCTAAGATGCTATCCAATAGGAATTAGGATTGGATTAGAATGATTTTCCTACTCTGCTAACAACAATATAATTCATTCGAAATAAATGCTTTCCAAAGAATTCAATTGATTGAACAAGAAATTTAATCAAAAAGGGAAGCTTCAGTGCTAAAAACGAGTCACTGCAATCATGTAGAGCAGATGGTTTAATGCAAAGAGACCCCTTGAATATTTTTTTTCAAAAATTAGACTTTAGAAAATTTCAGATTCCTCACATTGATGAATAAATCAAAGGCAACCAGAGCTGTGCCTAATAGAGCCTTAAATGTGGCATGTTATTATTAAAATTACATCTACCTTTAAAGCTATAAATGTTACATGATAGCTTGTAGGGAATATCTTCTGTCCTAAAAGACTTTATAATCCATGAAACCCGAAGAAGCTGAACACTGAACAACAGACTGACTACATAAAAAGTAATACTTTTCCGTTTTATAGAACTCTTCATATTTTAGAGCAAGTAGAAATGCAAATGTGATACACCAACAAACTTACACATTTTTAGTTGACCGGGGAACTCAGAGTGTTCCTTTTGCTTTTTTTTCTGGTATGGAGATAAAGAAATAATATGCTGGGAAGAAAAAAAAAATCCCTTTTCACAGTTGTTGTATTGGAGTATGTGTGATGAGGAGACTATCTAGACTCCTAATAGATAATGTAATAATGTTTGATTAGTTTTCTGAATTTTCTCAGCCACTGGCTGAGTGGTATAATCTTTACAAGAATTGAGGCTGAATTAGTAATAGAGTTTGGAGCACCTCACATTTCTGAAGTTCTATGCATATAAATCCTAGGAATTTAAGATGATTTTCTATAGTTTCTTTCATTGTGTCTAAATTTTTTTCAAGGTTTTAAGGTTTTAAACTTAAGACAACATTTTCTTTAGACACATATTAAGTCAAGCAGACATCTTACTTGAATATCATTATCAGTACATTAGATTTCCCTCCATGTCCCAACATCTCTGAGAAGATTGAAAAGTAAATATTGTAAGAATATCATGTTTTCCACATAGATAGTATATAAGATATTGCTTGCTTTTGTATGATGACTCACAACCCTGGCCATTTCTCACTCTCCATTTATTTAAATTGAAATAGAGGATCTGATGTATTATATCAATCCAAAGGGTAAGCCAGTGCTGAGGTGGAAGGGGTGGTGGGGGGGAAGAAATAATATACACAAATTCTAGAGAATGTCAGTGTTCAGAGTTAAGCTTTGACCTCCTAGCATGCACAGGTCTTGCACCTGAGGTTTCTCTCACCATGGACAAGGAACAAGGGCAAAGGGTTGTGTTGTGCTCACATATGCCTCATTTTGTGGAATTTCAAAATCTTCTAGACAGTGTTTAAATCTATGTTAAGTCTATGCTCCTGGGAGAAAGACCATCTAGGCAGACCAGGTTCACAGTTCAACTTGGTCTCTTGGTGGTCTGTCACCTGGAGAATCTTCTATGATTGTTCAGTGTTCTGGTCTCTGAGCTGAGGTAGTATCAGCCCCTACCTATAAGCAGTTATTGTGAGAATAAAATGAGATGATATATGTAAAACACTAAGTGTAGCCACTTAAGCATTTAATATAGTTTGGATTTGTGTCCCCACCCAAATCTCATGTAGACTTGTAATCACCAATGTTGGAGCAGGGGCCTGGTGGGAGGTAATGGGACAATGAGGCCTTCCCCCTTGCTGTTCTCAAGATTGTGAGTTCTTATGAGATATGGTTGTTTAAAAGTGTGTAGCACCTTCTCCTTGTCTCTCTGCCTCCTGCTCTGGCCATGAAAGATGTGCCTGCTTCCCCCTTCACCCTCCGCCATGATTGTAAGTTTCCTGAGGCCTTCCCAGTCATGCTTCCTGTACAGCCTGCAGAACGGTGAACAAATTAAACCTCTTTTCTTTATAAATCACCTAGTCTCAGGCAGTTGTTTGTAGCAGTGAGAGAATGGACTAATACAGCATTATATGTGATCAATAGGTGTGGGGTTATATGAAAAAGAAAATCCAAAATTTAAAATATACAGGAAAAAGATGGGTGGCATTCTGTAACACCCTAGCCCAAGTATTGTTTGGTAATTATTTAGTGCTGACCCCTAAGTACTTTGTTGACTCACTGTGAATTTGCATGGTAACATGTAGACTTTTGCCCAGTGGAGATAATTTCTCTTAAGCAGAAAATATAACCTCAAAGTTTACGGTTTGTGACTTTGTAGGACATTAGTTTGTAACTATCACTGAGTTTATTTTAGCAGATCTTTGATAAGCAGACTGTACAATATAATCTCCATTCCTTGGAAATGTAGTCTCTCTTCTATAAGAAAGAATTCTGGGCTTCCTACCATCTTACTGATTCCCCCACTATTTTGTGGGTTGAATGAGATCTTTTGTGGCTGTTTATTTCGTATGTATATGAGAACTTTGCTTTTAACTTTTCTGGAAAACTATATGTTATTAGCTGTTGTTGCATTTTAACAATTTAGCTATGGAAATTTATGCGACTTAAATTAGGCTTGACTCACAAAGGCCACGTTAAGGAAAACTGGTTGTTTTTCTGTTTATTGTTTTCTTATACTCCTAAAGCTTCTTTTTAAGTGATGTCAGTGACTAATTTCAGTGCTGTCAACTTCTAGCCTTGGCTGTCTATTCCGTACCGAGTATCTTATATTGCACTTAATTTGTATTAGGAGATCGGAGCTCTTTAATTAGGAATGGAATGCAGCAGATTTGGACAAGTCAAGGACAAGGTATTTTCCAATCATCACTTCATTGTCCCTAATAAGAAAAGAAATGTTTTGCTGAAACTTAACTTTGTGTCCCTTAGTGTGTTTTACTTTTTTATTCATCTGAAAATCAAATACCACCTGTGAGAAGAGTGATAAACAAAGAAAAGACCCAAAAGCCTACAGTATCACGCTGCTCAAATAAGGGTAATTGTTCAGATGTTAAAACAATGTTCCATACATAAAATATTGTGAAGATGGGGAGAGTTTTCTTGTGAATAATATTTATAGTTCCAAGGTCAAATCCAGTTAAACTTTGAGTAAACTTTAGAGTCAGTATGACTACTGACTCTATTTGCCCGTTAATAATTATATTTCAATTGTTAGCACTCCAAGATTAGCCAGTTTAACTATGTTTAATAAGCCTTCTGTCATCTTACTTTTCTGTTCTCTTAGAGCTTTAGGGAGACCAAACAGTTTTTCACTGTTAAACTATTCAGTATGTAGCTGAGAACCATATGGAGAACATCAAATACAGTGGAACGAATGTAACTGCTCTTGATGTCACGCTTTGTGAAGTCGTCTTTGTTGCTTAAAAAGGGTGACATCTAGTGGCTAAACATGTTATTTCAAATAAATAATATCCAAATAACATTTCTTCTCCTAGTCCACTTGTTCACTCTTTAACAAGTATTGTAAAGTATTTATGTTTGAATTATGTGTTCTTCTTTTTGATAATTTGACTATATATTGATAGTGCAATAATTGTGCAGTTTAAGCCTTCAACAAAGAGGTAGAATATGATGAAAATTGGAAGGAAGGCTGAGGGGGCATTCTTGGTGCTTGGTTAAACAGAAAGCTTAACAGTTCATAAAGGCTGAGCTAAGAAAGGAATTATAAGCATGGGTGACCTGCCTGATATAGAGAGTGTATCCCCGGATATATAAGATTGCATTCTAGAAGTCTGATATTTGGTATACAATTTTGAAATAGTCCTTTATGTGATGTTTTCATCAGCAAACACAAATTGCATCTGTACCAAAAGATTCCACTTCCCTTTTTGTTTAAATATGCATTTTGGACATTGTTCAAAACCTATGACCTAAGGCTATTCCAAGAGCCCTTTGCTCACAAAGAGAATGAGTAAATTAGAGGCCAGAGTCAACCCACTGCATTAAGCATCATAATTCAAGCTGTTATTCTCACCTAGAATTTAACCTTTTCCTAGTTCATTATTACCTTTGCTCATTGCAATGTCATATTCTGAACTTTTTCTGTACACTAAATTAGGACTGAGTCATGAATAAATGGCTTCTTGGATGTTTTTGCCCCACTTCAAGGCAGACTTTAATTCAGTCTAACAGTTAATTATTGCTCTGAAATATGAAGGGAACTACTCTTAATTGTACAAATTTGACAATATGAAACATTTTGCTGAAAAACATGCTTAAATAACATTGTAAATTTTGAATTTTTAAAAAAATTACAAATGTTAACTCTCATGGCACACTTTAGAGGATTATTTAATCTTTTAACTTTAGGGGATTCAAAGATTTGTGAATCCTTTAAAGGGATTCTTCTGTAAGAGCCCATACATTGAGATTTAAGATGCCACCTCCCTCTTTTTTTGTTAATAGAGAGTCTACTACGAAAACAGGAGTGGATAATATGACGTATGAAGATTCCATCTATCATTTACTTTTTTATGTTAGCCAGTGAAATCATACATTCTGAAAACCTGCTGTTCCTCACTTTTCATGCTGGCTTAGCAAACCTCCACACGCACCCATTGTATTAGATTCTCCTAAAATACTTTTCTTCTGAGCTTTTTTGAATGGGCAAGAATGGGCAATTTTGATAAAAATGCTTGAATGTTAAATTATGCCAACACATTTCCATAATCAGCTAGAGGTATTTGATTGAAAGTTTTAAACAGTGATGACATTTTAAAGGCTTTATTAAGGGCTTGAATCATCTCCTTTATTGTAACAAGTAATTTGCTGGTGAAAAACAACCAGCTGAAAAGGCTGGCTGACTTCAGTGCATGGTTAAGGAACACAAGTTGTTATTGTTTGGCAACAACATTAGAAAAAGAATATGCGTCAAACAATTCCCAGGAAAGCCCCAGAAAGAATAAAAATAAACATCCAGAAATGTCTGCAAAAAGAC